TAACAAGGTACATGACGCCAATTGGAGTTTTCAGCATATTATGCAAACTATGTAAAATTATGCCATTTGGCGTCATCGGTAGTGAATGTGTTAAACTTTCAAAATCAGTATCATAAATGATAAAGTTATTATTAAATGAAAATATAAATTTACTAGAAAAGAAAAATATTCTTCGTTCATAGAAATTGTTAAGAGTGTTGAATTCTAGATATATAATAATAATAAAATATAATAAAATATCTAATAACAATCAATAGAATACTTTTTATATAATATGTCTTAGAACTGTTATAATAATATGATTTGAAAAATAATATAACAAATCAATCTTATATAGATTTGAAATTATATAGAGGATATTCAAGATAAAATTATGAGTGAAACATTAGTAATAGCACCCTAACCAAAATACTGTAACAAAAAAATATGACATTATATTATTAAAAACTTAAATAAAGCATTTCTTTAATTTAATTTTACTTTTGAACTTGTGAAGGCAGTTAAATAAAAAATATGTTACATCAAATTAAAACAGACAAAACAATTTACCAGGGATCGAAAAGAAAAAATATTTAAAGGGTTGAACAAAAAAAAATAATGTAGGCACCTACTCAAAAATGTGATTGAATATTTTTTACATAGTAAAATAGTTAATTGCGTTTTAAGCTGGAAGTAATGTTTACTTTTGCTACTTCTATCAATTTATTTAAGAAGTGTACACATTTTTACTCACCACCCCATATTCCAATATTCAGTTGAGAACTATCTAAATTCTCGACATATTCACCAATAAACCTGTTGAGCACATCAGCCACCAAAGATTCAAACACCATGATTTCATATGAATTTTGAGATTATTGGTTAAAATCAAATATAGTATAACACATCATTGCTAAATAATTCAAAAACAATATTTAAATTTCCACATAAATATAATATAATATAATATAATTAACTATATATACAATATTAATTAATTAAAATTGTTTTACTTACAGTAGTGTAGTATAGTATAGAATAAAAGTACAAGTATATTAAATGTATAATATATACTATATTACTAAATCTATAATACACAATTAATGAAAGTTTGATGACATAATCATAGAATTTTAGTTATACGAATCTACGAATTAAATAATAAAAATTAATAAAATAATAGATAACGGTTGATAAAAAAAACAAGCTTTTATCAGTTAGTAACATTATGTTATGGCAACATTGCCAACCTTAGTTTGAGATTGAGATTTTCGGTGATTTAAATATTGAATATGACATGAAATGCTGTAAACATTTATTATAATATTATTATTGTTATTGTTCTATGTTAATATGTTATAGTTATTATCGAGTTATCGACTATCGTCATCACTCATCAGTCATCACCAAAGGGCAAAGACCACAATATTTATTATTACTATATTAAATACTTATTACTCATTAGTTATTAGTTTATACTTATTATTACTTTATTACTTAAAAAGTTAAATTACATTTATATAAACTTAATTCGTACCACAGATATTGTTGTTGATATTAAATATTTTAAATATTAATATTAATTCAATATGTTTATTGTATGCCGGTGATAATGATAATATTTTTGTTTATTATAGTGGTAGTAGCCAGTTAGGGCCGCTTTCACCAAATACTTTAAACTTCGATTACGCTTAATCGACTGATAACAGATATTTAACCGGGCAAATTCGGCCGATTAAACCCCGGTTTAACTTTAATCGGAGTTTAAAGTATTGGTGAAAGCGGCCCTTACTATACTCTGTTCAAAATAAGATCGTGACCCGGCGGCCGAGTTGTGCGCATGGGCGTGGCTTTGTTCCGTGGCTGCGCCCGACGCGTCGCTGTAGTGGGGACGGCATCTGGCCATATGTCTGACCGCCGCCCGACGAAAACTGGTCGCCGCCGGGTCACGATCTTTTGTGGAACAAAAGGTAGTGATCCTAAAAAATTATCTTCTTCACGGAAATTAATTATTAAATTAATATTAATTATTATTAATGTTTGAATGTTTCCCTATGCATTACTAAGCAAGATACCTTGAAATAATTATCGCGAATAATCAGCCCTGAGGTTTTAGAATCTTATTTTTGACTTTCAGTGGCCCAGACCCACTAAAGTGGGTAATACTAAAACTATAGACGGAACCAATTTCCAAGGTTTATAGATAATACTATAATAGAGGCACTAGAGGCAGTGTTGGGTAAATTACTTTTAAAAAGTAATGAAATTACGTTACTCGTTACATCAAATATTTTTATTATTACATTTGCGTTACCTAAAATTATTCTTATCACGTTACATTACTTTTTCATTAATAAAGTAGTGCGTTACAAATTACGTTACTTTTTTTTTATCCTTTTTTTCTTAATCATATTCCACTCATATGATTTAATAAATTATTATGTATATATTTTACAATCATAGACCTAGTGATAATGGACCTATTTTATATAGTATTATGCACAAATGTACGATCATCTTACCTATATTATAAGAATCATAAGTCATAAATCATAATTAATTTTTATTGAATTTTATTTTTAAACCAGACTCTTTTCTTTCTGCTAATAAAGTGCTAAGCTAACTGATAACATTTATTCCGGGAATATTTAGTACCAGCACAGAATAGATGAAATGTCATCTATTCTGTGGTACCAGCATGTACCAGGCTTAAATCGTGCTATAGATTTATGAGTTTATGACCACAAAACAATATGACTGTCCACGGCAGTTGGCTGGCTGACCTGCTGGCTGCTAGACAGCGCCACAGGCCAAAGCCTCGGATCGATAATCCGCCATTACGAACCCGGATCGGTGGGCTTGTGTATTTTCTTATCAGCTTATTTTGTTTATTCTTTGACGAGTGTCGACCACAGGGTAATATTGTGTCGACTGGTGATTGGAGAGAGGAGAGGCTATGTGAGATCACTGAGATGACTATGAGTGTTTGCCGTGTTTGAGGGTTGAGTTTCGTGGTTATTGAAATAAAATTTAATATTTATCAGTTACTACTTACTAGTTGCGTCTTATTTTTCGCATTAACAAATTGACGGTTATTATTCAGCGTTAAGTGAATAAGACGTTAAGTGTAGTTAATATTGGGCGAATAGGTATAAATTCCGAAATTCATTCTTACTGTGAAGTGTAAATAAGATTTGTGTAAACTGAGTTATAATAACTAGAGTTATCTAGTGACTCGGGATTCTTCCAATTTGTCAAAAGCATAAAGGTGAGCTTCAGAAATTAGTCTATTTATTTCATTTTTTCCCATACTGTACTTTAATTATTTTATTTAGAGATCAACCAAAATATCTAATAGTACAATATTTTTCTAGAAAGTAGAAACTTAATATATGTATGGTTTATTATTATTATTAAGTCATAGATATACATTTTAATCTTGAATTAACCAGAGCCCGTAACACATTTAAAAAACCCTTAAAATTCAAAAACCCAAAACCCTTATAACTCACATGATTCTTTTTTCAAAACTAAATTTTTCCAAATTAACATTCATTTTTAATTAATTAACCAAATAAAACTATTAGGTTTACTCCAAACCCAAATAATTTTTACCTTACAATCTTTATGTATCATTTTGTATATTACATTTTATGTGGTTAGTTCGATTTTGTAGTTAATTATTTGTTTAAAAATAATAACTATAAAATATTATGTTTCTTCTGAATTACTCAACGCCTGTATAAATCAATATTAACCCCAATAATAACAGTTATTAACACCCAAATGTTTGTTTAATTTTTAGATTCTGAGTGAAACGATGAATGTATTGATTTTACAATGATGTGTGTTTTTTTTTTTATTTTTTTATTTTTTTATTTTTTTATTTTTGTGTCTGTGTACACGATAAGTAGTCGAAATAATGCTTCGATTTTCGACTTCAGTATCTTGTTCGATTGGAAAGTGAATATCGTTGGTGCATTGGGGAGGTCAAAATTTAAAATTCCCAATAGTTTTCACAAGCGCCGGGAAAAACAACATAAAAATTAAGGAAAAACGGGAATTTTTACGCAAAATCGATTTTCCAAAAATCGAATTTGGTTATTGGTGTAACTTTAAAACAAATGACCGTAGATACATGAAATTTTCACTGGTTGTTTATATTTGCATTTTCTATACACGGTAAAATTTTCAAAATATTTTGATTTATTTTGAACTGTTTAGGGACATTTTCATTTTCCATTTTTTTTTAGTTTTTTTTCTAAAAATAACAATAAAATATTATTTGTTGGTTGCGAAAGCTTGAAAATTTAATAGAAGGCTCCTAATATGTTGTTTCAAAGGAAGATGAAAAATATTAAAAATCCTTAGTCACAATTTTTTTTTATAAGCATTTAAAGTTCAAAAATTGACAAAATATGGAAAAATCACGAAAATTAGCAAATTATTTTGAGTTAAGAATTCGTAAAAATTTTTCTTTTTAAATCTAAGATTTGAAAATGAACACAAGATTCCTTATAAGATTATCTACCTTTATCAATAAAAAAATCTCTACCGGACAGTCAAATTAAATTTTTATGAGCGTTTGAAATTCAAATTTTTACAACATTGGATTTTCACTCGATTACTCATGTAGCGATTTCCTTATTTTGTTGCAATTCAAAAACGAACAACTGTAGATACATGAAAATTTCACTGAATGTTTAAATTAGCATTTTCTATACACCATACAATTTTGAAAATATTTTGACTCTTTTTGAGCTGTTTATGGACATTTACAGCTTTCAATTTTTTTTAGTTTTTTTTTCTACAAATATCAATAAAGTTTTATCTGTTGGGCCAAAAAGTGTAAAAATTTAATACAAGGCTCCTGATATATTGTTACAATAGCAGTTGAAAAATATTAAAAATACATAGGCACAGTTTTTTTTTATAAGCATTTAAAGATCAAATTTTGACAAAATTTATCAAAATCTCAAAAATTATCAATCATTGTAATTAATAAATTATAAAATGTTCAGTTTTTATAGCTAAGGATTACAAATTCAACACAAAGGTTCTCATAAATAGTTCATACTATAACCAAAAAATCTAAAAAATATATGAACACAGTTATTTTTTACAGACATTTTAAATTCAAATTTGGACGAAATTACATATTAAAAAACCTAGAATAACTATTTTAGTTATTTTGTTGTGATTGAATAATATTATTCGTGGGTACTTGAAACTTCTAAAGTGTACTATTATATATCTATGATAGTATCACGGTTTTTGTTGATGTATAACGCGTTATAAGTACCTAATGGATATTGTGATATGATTAATTTGGAATTCATTATAGGTCAATTTTTTTAATACCATAGATAAGTATATAATATGTCTTATACATACACTGACATACCGTCACCGCTCAGAATCGTTTTTCTTATACAATGATATTATATCATTGAATTCAAATTTAATACCATCCATTATACAGTGACCCACTTGTAACCTACTGTACAGCAGAGCGACACCCACTTGCCCACCTTTTTTTATTCTGGTGTTATTTGGGGGAAAAGCTCTAATATTAATACCTACAACAAATATTTTTGTTTTAAAGGTTAGCGAACATTCATCATTATGAGTAAGCGCAGAGCAGGTAATGAACTAACAAAAGACAATTGGGATGAGGAAGAAGAAAAAGTTGACCCAGGAATATTTAAGGTTGCAGACGAATCTGTATTAAAAAACCGAGTTCTGAAAAGAGCAAAAAGAACATTACAAAGAGATGAATCTGGTGAACTAAAACCAATATTTTCTGGATTTTCGGGATTCAACAATCTATCCAGTAATCTAAATTCCAAACAAGCATTTTCTTTTTTGTCAAAATCAAATGACACACCGAGTGAAAGTGGAAATCATCCATCTGCATCAACGATTAATTCATTGACAACATCTAGTAGCTTAACATTTTCAGAAAGTAACAGTTCCAAAAGTTCAATTCCGCCAATTGTAAATCATATTAAGGTGATGAAACTTAACGAGGCATTTGTTAAATTTATTACAAATGCTGTGCAGAAAAATCCTTATTGTGTGCTAACTCCTTCATTGAAAGACTATGAAAAACAAATTAGCAAATTTGTCGATATTACTAGTTTCAAAACCAATACTCCTGATACTTCAATGGCTTCTACTAAAGGTTTGCATATTTATTTCCATATTTATGTTATACAGTAGATTCTCATTATGTCAAACGTCAATATCCCAAACTCAATTGCAATAACTCTGAAGTAATATGTAATATTAACATTGCATTATTCTTAATTCTTTTTTGTTTCCCTTGAGTTTTGACATAACGAGAGTGAGAGTTTACTGTATTTATATTTTTAATTTAAGTTTAAGTTGACAACTATGATTATGTAAACCATCTATCAAAAATGTAGGGATCTATACTCCTTTTCAAAAGAGAATATTATACCGTTTTTGCGCATGTCGAATGATTCGATTGGTGCATCGAGAATCACGTGATCACGCTAACAATAAAAAATTGGTGGGGAATTCCTTGCCGCCGGACATTAAATTGGTTTATTCTCTTTTGAGAAGAAGTATAGTTACTACATTTTTCTGAGAATGTTAGTAAAAATAGTAAAATAAATTTTTTAACAATCTAACATAATATTTAATGTAGAACAAAATACAATTTTTATAAGTAAGTAAGTAAGTTATGATATACATTACAGCAGTGGCGCCCAACCCTATTTCTAAGTGTAGCGGTCGCTACACCTTGAAAATAAGGGGTGGATGGGTATAATAACAAAAAATAATAAATTTGAAATATGTTCATAATTAATCGCAGATTATATTGGTTGATACCTTAATATTTACTAATATTATCAATACAAATATGATAAAATGTATTAAATAATATAATTTTGAGTTTTGAGAGGGTGGGTGGGTGGTTAAAATTTTTTCTTGCTACACCTGAAAAATATATCTTGGGCGCCACTGCATTACAGTTTAAATGTAAGCATATCCAATAAATTCTGGACCGATGATATATATGTTCCATATCTAAAAATGTACACTTGCTAACTATTTATCATTGTCTGTAGTGTAAAAACTTAATTAGTACTATTGTTTTGGGAAGTTATGGATCATCTCATAGAGTTTTAAAGTTATCGTCCATTTTAAATGATTTATAATATATTAATAAAATGTTTCAGGATCTCCACAAATATCAGTAATGGAAAGTAAAATAACACGTACAAAGAACTCTGATGAAATAAAAAATAATTCTGTCAATGTCCAGAGAAGTGAAACTAGTTTTACAAATCCAATTGGCAATATTTCTTCTAGCAATGACCAATTGTTTAGTTTTGGTAATAAAATCCAAGACACTAATGACCAAGTATCAAGTACAAATGACTTGAAACTTGACATGACAGTCACAGAACATACAGAAAAAAAAGATGTTGAAACAAAATTGCAACCATTTTCGTCAGAAGAATCAAAGAATACACTGACAGGGACCAATGGATTCAAGTTGGGCGATTTCAAATTTAACAATCAGTCATTGTCAAGTTCTTTTACTAGCAAATCTCCTGACTTTAAATTAAATGATGAAAAAACGTTGCAATTTAGTTCAAATGATAAAAAAAAGTCATCCTCAGAAAAACCTATTGTATGCAAGACATTAAACACAAAGCCTCCATTTAATTTCGGAAGTACTCTACCGTTATTTTCATTTAAATCTACAGAACAAAATAATTCCAAGCCATTCTTTAGTTTTGGATCAAAATTGCCTACCTCAACATTTTCCCCTAAAAATTTGGAGACTCCTCAGGAACCTCAAAATCCAATAGACGAAGATGAGGATCAACCGCCAGTTGTAAATTATACACCTATTAAAGAGAATGATGCAGTTTTTGAGTCTAAAAGTAAACTATTTTGTTTTAAAAATGGTAAATATGAAGAACTCGGGGTTGGTCAATTGTATTTAAAACCAGTTGATGATAAAAAAATGCAATTAATTATGAGGAATGATAGTGCCTTGGGAACTATCATGGCTAATACGTTACTGAATGAATCTGTTAATTTTACTAAACGCAATGCAAAAAATGTTCAATTAACATGTGTTCTTGATCCTACTAAAAGTACCAAACCGCAAACGGTTCTATTCAAATTTAAAGATTCACAAATCACCGATTCATTTGAAAACGAACTAACCAAATTAAAAAAGTAGACAGAATATTAAGTTTTCAGATTAAAAATAATTTATTTTCATATTTGTTTAATTTAATATCTTTCCAGACTATTATATAGATTATTAAAGATACACATACTATTGTGGGATAAGTTATATTGATTTGAGTAGGTTTCATTCATATTAAATAAACAATAAATTAAATAACTTTGGCGTTTTAATTATTAACCACCATGTAATGTTGATATAAATGTAATATTGTCATTATTCTTAATATGATATTTTAAATCTCCCAAGAGTTCCCAATCTTGGTCATTAACAGCTACAATGATGCCTGGCCTCACAGTGTTGCCCTTCAAAAACAAATCACATTTGTCTTTGTCGACCAATATATTGTCTTTAATCCAGAACAGCAGCAATCCCAGTGTCCAAGGATTTTCCGTTTCAGGCAATACCACTTTGTGTTTCTTTACGTTGTTAAATAGAATTTGAAGTCCACTTGTAAATTCGGTGGTTATGTTCAGTCCCTTTTCCATTATTTTCTAAAAATCCAAACGAAAAATGTCAGCTACATTTAAATTATCTACGAGGAAATGAACATTTAATATAATGTAAACTACTCTGTTACCTGTTGGTACTGGGTTCAAGTTGTTGTATTTATTATATTAAAATAACGACGTAAGTGCATTTATTTTTATAAATTATATTGAAGTTTAAACGTAATTGTAAATGTAGAACATGATAAATTAAAATTGAAATTATTAATTTAAAAAAACGTAAGATCAATAAATTCTAATACATTAACTTGTTCATACTTCATGATAAATGATAATACGCAGAATAACAACATGGTAAGCAAGGTTTATAGCATGAACATTAGATCCTCTAATGTTCATGGTTTATAGATAAGTCTGTTAGGAATATTCACGGATCTTCAGTCCGTGGGAATATTTGATAAGATAATTCAGGGACTCCAAAATAGGCGATTGTAAACCGTAAAGTAATTACTCTATGTTGTAAACTCTGCCCATTGTTTTTTTCAAAAATGAATAATGATTACAAGTCCGTATTTGAGGGGGTTTGTTATAGATAACTTTTTTTGTAGTTGATGAATTTAATTTATGAAACTAAAATTGTTTATAATTTAATTATAATAATTTACCATGTTTCCCTAATAATAGTATAACTGTATATCATGAAGATAATACATTAATACCTCTGATCTTCATGCTGTGAGAAACTGCCTTCCATAGACCTATAAAAGGTTTTATAGGTCTGTCGTCTATGCTGTACCCTCCCCCAAAGTTTAAAAACCACCCAATGGCCTAACTGGCCGCGGGTTAACGAATAAAAAAAAAAAATCATATACAACCTTAAGGTTTAGACCACGATGTAGAGAATGTAAAGTGTAAACTAGAATTAACTAGAATGTACATCGTGGTTTGTATAGATTGTTTACTTAAGTCTTAAATCCATGAAGACTAGAGGGATCAGCAACTTGATATATATTGTGTATTTTAGTTGTGTTTGGTAACCCCTGTATTATATTATCAAATACTATACTCATGATACTACAAGTAGCAGTTACCAGTTGCCAGTTAAAACTTAAGATTTTAGAACCGGGACACGCTTGGTGCGTGTTTATTTACTTCTAAATTTTATAATTTTTATCTAGATATACTGTTCAATATTTCGCCCGTATTTTTTCCCCTATTAATTACTATACTTTATAATTAGTGACTATTTTTCAAGAACAACAAATGTCATGGGACCGATTCCAGTGGATCGTATTATAAGCATAAGCAGTGAAGACCATGTAAATATTTTTTTACTCTAAATTAATATTTTTATTGATGATTTTAAGAGCGTGTTAAATTTGAACCAATAGGCACACAAAGCTGAGAACATACTTAACGTCTCAGATTCACATCAAACGTGGCGTTGTAAATCAGGTGAAAAACAAGCTACAGTCATTCTTCAATTTTTGAAACCGTCTGTCATTAGTTCTATTGACGTTGGAAATGATAATTCTGCTTTTGTAGAAATATTTGTAGGAAAATCTACTTCTGACGAATTTCAAGTAAACATTGCATAAACAATAAATTGATTGTACAATAAATGTACCTAACTTTTAATTTATTCTATAACCTTTACATTGTAGGTACTATTGGTAACTTCTTCTTTGATGACATTGCATGAATGTAAAAATGGATTAAATGTAAATAAAGTCCGTTTCTTTGACACCGATCACTTATCTTTGGCATCTAAGGAATCATGGGATAGAGTAAAAATTGTGTGTACACAACCATACATTAAACAGAGCAAATATGGTTTATCATTTGTAACATTTCATTCTAAAGATATACCACAAAAAGAGCCTATCCAATCTCAGTCTATTCAGTTAGGATCATTTACATTAAGAAACGATGATGAGTCTGATGATATTTCATCTGCTGGTCGATTATTTTCCAAGCGTAATGAAAATAAAGATGTTGTGAGGATGCCAGAATCTCCAGTTAATCGTCTACTTGCAATACATAAAAAAAACTTGGAAACGGGAAAACATAAAAATGCTAATTCTACAAATATTAATATTCAAACACCTTTAATGAATCAAGTGAACTCCAAATCTCCAAAAGATTCTGTAAAACCAAAAAACATTGATTTAAATGTTAAAAAAAATAACACAATTACAATGACAGCTGTTAAAAATACAGGTAGAGTAATATCCAAGTAAAATATAATATAATACAACCTATGTTCAAAATTCAAAATTTTATTTTCTTAAAGGAGCTCAAAACACAAAGTTTTTTTATTTGAAAAAATGTAATTGAAAAGAGATGCGTGATGTCATTGGGTTTGGCTCATTGTAATTGCCTATCTTATACGTGTAAAAATTCTTTGCTTCACACAACAATTTACCAACCTCAAAATTTTATTTTTGAAAATTAATACCTATAAATATGTTTCTGAGCGGAGACGGTTTGTCAGTCTGGATATTTTATATTGGTATTAATTATTATAGCCTTTAAGTTAAATAATTCTATGGTTACAAACAAAGTGTTAGAATTGAAAATCCCCTTTTAGCAGTTTTTCGTAACTCGCTGGTGGTTTTTCCCGTAGCATTAAATATTTATTGAGAAAATCGAAAAATGTCCTCTCTAAAGTACTGCCTTGATCCAATTTGCTAAAAGATAAGATACTATATTGTGTTGAAATCAAAGCACTTCTTCTGGTAGAAATTTTGTGTAGAGGATAAAAAAAAAAAACCATTGTAAAACCACTAGATCCGCTCAGAATCTAAAATTATATCGTATTTTATTATTGTAAGGTTATAACTTATAAAATATAGAATATATTGAAACATTTTTTAATTATTAATAATTAAAATAAATAATATTATTCTGTATTTGAGGCAAAATATTTTTGGGTTGTATTACTTTAGGTAAGAAAATTGTGAAAAAATATTCACCCTGGTTAAAAACCCATTATTGTCTTAAAGTTTGATTTTTGTTGACATTTTCTTGTTTAGGATAATTTAATAAATCAACATTTTTTATTATACATAATTTAAATTAAAATATAAATATAAATTTAATCTAAAACAAACAAATAATAAATAAATGTATGATTGTATGTTGAAACCAACAATACAAATTAGGTTAACTGTATTTGTTCAAACCAGTCAACATTTTTATCAATAGTTGGTACCAATAAAATGCAACTTATTGAAAGGGTTTACCCTAGATCATATACTATGTATGGAGCCATGCCCACCTTGCCTGTGTAAACAATTTGAAGCATATATAAGTGATTAGTCTCTGACTGGGATGCTTGATGTGGGCATGCATGAGTCAAACCATCATATTTTAAGCTGTTGGTTTATATTTAGATAGATAAATATGCAACATTTCTCTTCATGCATGTGCAGCTCTCTTCACACATGTGCACATCAAGCATCTCAGTCAGAAACTTTTCACTAATTTATTGCTTCAAGTTATCAGGACATGTATCCATCCATAGTATCTATAAGATCTAAGGGTTATACACTTAAACGGGTATTTCAAATTTTAAATTATATTTATAAAATATTATATTATAATGTACTATAGATAAAACAATTATTCTGCCACAAAAATTTTGTCTGATGTAAACTACCCACTACAATAAGCATATTATATAAATATTATTTTTTTAAAGAGGTTAAAAAGAAAGAATCAAGTCCATCATCATCACTTTTGCAACCTTCCAGAAAAAAAATTAAATTAATGAAAAACCCATTACCAGCAACAAAACCGTTCAGCGAATTATTGAACAATGTTGTATTTGTAATGAGTGGTTATGAAAATCCATATCGTAGTAACATACGTTCAAAAGCTTTGGAAATGGGTGCCAAATACAAACATAATTGGGATCTATCATGCACACATCTAATGTAACTAATACAAATTAAATTTTTTTAAAACCATTTACATACTCATAACTATTTTCCTTTATATTTATACATTTTAATATATTTTATAGATGTGCTTTTATAAATACTCCGAAGTATCATGAATGTAAAAGACAAGGAACCTATCGTATAGTAAAAAGTGATTGGATTGATAAATGTCATTCAAATAGATGTCGATTTCCGTGGAGAAGGTAGTGTTAATAATAAAATATATTCTACCATACTACTAAAAGTAACTTATATTTTAGGTACGCTTTGGATAAATGGGAACAAAATAAACCTGAGAGTGAAGATGAAATATGTGCACATACAGATTCAGTTGAAACTGATGATAGTGATGATGAATGGAATAGTGTTTCTGCTAAGTACTACTTTAAACATTTTCAAAAAATAAATTTGTTACAATTTGAGAATATTAACTTAACCTATTTAACTTTTTGTTATACAAAAGGCCTATACCCTCAACATCACAATCTAATAGTTCTGAAAATCGGCAAAATACAATAACAACATCACTATATGATTTAGATACTGACATTGATTCAGATTTAGATATTCCTAAAGATATATTGGCTGATGAAAGCATTGTACCATTGCCATTTATAGATGATATATTTCGTGATTGTTCATTTTACTTATCTAGCAGTTTAAAACCTTTGCTAAAACAAGAATGTCATCGCTACATTATAGCACTTGAGGGGTAATACTTTGCATGGATAACACATTGTATTTTTTTTTTTTGTGAATTTATTAATATATATTTTTTTATGTAGAAAATTCAGTGAAAAGGATAAATGTGATTATATTGTTTCAACTGATACAAATGATTTACAGGTAAGACATTAATTTAATGTTTGAATTTTATTTTAATATTTTTTTTAATTTACATTTTTTCAGTTTAAGAATTCTGTTACTCCACAGTGGATTTGGGATTGTTATGATGCAAGAAAAATATTACCGTTAATATAAAACTTGTGTTTCTATTGCAAAAAAAAGAAGATGTAATAATTTAATTCTCTGTACTTTAAGGTGTTATGTACAACTTGTGCTTGTGTTAAATGGAAATAGACAATGGTTATTCATAAAAATAATAACTAATCATACCTAATGTTGTATATTATATTCATTTTTTAAAAGTGTTGTAAAATAACAATTAATAAACTATATTTTATTATGGTATAGTTTTTGTTGATTAAGGAACTTTGGATTTATTTAACTAATATTCTTAAAGCAAGATATGCAATATGTAATAATTGTTAACTCGTAATTTCAGGTACACGTGCATCGTACATTAATAACTGTATATTCTCCGTTTGCCGAGAGAATATAGTTACTTCGCACATACGAATGGAACCGAGAAGTGTGGACTTAGGTGGTTGATGCAAGTTACAATCGGCTTTGGATTGTGCGCAACCACTTTCTGTCGTCAAACAGAGTATACTTGCCATGACCCATGATCTAAAATGTATTTATAATATTTTTTACAGTACCTACAAATAATTTGGCTTTTATTTTCATCTATTGATTTCATAATAATTAGCAAGTTTAGATTGTAGTGGTCACATACCGCTGCTAAATCTTCATCTACCAATTAATAACCTGACTGTTTTTTAGGTACAGTAGAACTCCGACTATCCGGACTAATTAGTAATTAATGTCAAGGGTGGTCCGGATAAGCAAATATCCGGATGATTGACATATGACATTTTAAAAGTTATATATTGACCTTGTAACACGACAATTCACTTGTTATGACAATTGACAGACTAAACTGTGTGACGATTGTCGACTAGACAATCTGATTATAAGAATAATTTAAATGGTAAAAACATTTTGGTGTCAAGTAGTTAATTTTTTAGAATATTTTTTTGAGTAAACTAATTTAGAATGTAATAACTTTTTTCACAATTTTTGTCATGCGTTTAAGTAGCGTAATTTTTTTTTTGTCAAATTTTCCTGTTATAGCCTGTCTATAGAGAGGGGGTCTGGGAATTCTTTATAATTTGTGCACCCTCAAAAATATAGGTCTAGTTGCGCCTATACAACTGAGTAACTAAGAATAATACCTTTGGTATTGGTTTAGTCTTGCAAGCCTGAAGGCGGGTTTCCACTATACACATTCGGGTGTAAGTGCATACAAATCCTTTGCTGCGATTGGTTGGTTAGGTTAAGTTACCACATGATTAACCACGATACCGTGTTGTTGAACATAGCTGAACATTTTTTCACGGAAACCCGCCTTAATCTTGTTCTAACGCTTGCAGCAAGAGTTGCGAGACCGCTTTTGATCATCACTAAATTGATAGTGACATAGTGTAACGATCTTGGAGCTCGGTACCTACTACTGTAGTGTTCTATGTTAATAGTAGATAAGTGGCTACCAAGATGTTATAGATGCAGGTCGCAGACACTTTATCTGTTGTTGAAGTCGTGGTAGATGAATGAATAATAAGACAGTTGTTGTATATTAAGAATTTTATTATAACGTTCGATAATTTTTCTAAGTCCAAATAATATTGTACAAAGTGACGTGAAGGTGCTTGCTCTAATGGATGGTAGTAAACGTCTGAAAACAGGCCGATTCGGGCTCCCTTATATATGAGGTTCCCCGTACCCCTCGCCTATCGATACTGTATCAAGACTGTCGCGGATGTAATTGGTGTGGTCATCGTTCCAGCCTACGCATTAACGATTGACGCATTACCAAAGTATGATTATTATTAAAATAATCATTTTACTCTTTTGTATTTTTATTTCGTCGTATTCAGTGTTTCTGTAAATATTACATCCGCCTATTCTTGAACCCTTCATCCTGAGCTATTTAGTGAGCCTGCCTCCTTAGGTTTGAAGGAGGAAACCCAACCCATTTTCATTCTTTATGTCCGACTATGCTGGTCTATTGTATAATATAATAACTATGTACTCATGAAATTTGTATTGTTTCTGTAAAATGTTATATACGCCTATTTTTGAATCCTAATTTTCTTATTACCTGGTTATGCCGACCTATTATATATTATAATGACTATACACTCGTGATTTATGATTTTGGTATTTGTTTCGTAGTAACTGGCGTCTGGCTTACTACAATAGTGTTCATGAACTTCCGTCAATACTTTTAGGCAAAGACGGCAAAATAGATTTACGGTCCGTGCCAACTTTTGGCTTGGGGGGGCTGAATGTATTAAAGACAAGCAGACCATTGAAATATAGCATATAATAAAAATGTTATGTCCTAGGTTTTTGGGGGGGCTTAGCACCCCCAAGTTCCCCCCCCCCAATTTATGTCTATTCCCATGGACTAAGATATAATTTTTATTATATCTTAGTCCGTGCGTGTACTTATAATACCTATACATATTTCGTCTAATATAATTAAGATCAATTGTAGTCTGTAGGTATTTAAATCATTTTCATTACTATTTTAACCATAGTATAAATAAACGTTGAGAATTTAACTACAATATTGTCTCCACTTACTTTTCTTTTTGGTAAATTATTTACTTAGTTCTTAGCGATTTAATGTAGCATCTTCGTCGTGATTGTGAATCAGAACTATGTACCTACATTTTTTTCAATAATTTCGTCCTCGGTATCATTTGTGTACATTTTACTTTTACACTTATATTGATACAACGCCAAGTTTTTGTTCACTTTATGCAGATATAATGTAAAAAAAAATTGGAACAATTAGGTATTAATATAAAAAAGTGTGTAGGTAATTAGATACCGCTTTGATTAATCTGATTTACAGTAGTGGTGTAGAATGGTTCACTCATAGATAAGTATAATTCACTGTTAAGGAAGCGTTAAATTTGAATCCAAATATCAAATAATTATGATATATCATTGTTTAAGATGAAAAATTTTGAGAGGAGACTGTGCGACAGCCAAGGATATTTTATAATATTACATTAATTATATTGCTAAAAGTAAATGCCTTTTAGCCTATACCTATTATCTTGAAATTTTCAGTTTTAGATTCTGAGTGAAACGATGAATGTATTGATTTTACAATGATGTGTGTTTTTTTTTTATTTTTTTCATTTTTTTTGTGTCTGTGTACACGATAAGTAGTCGAAATAATTCTTCGATTTTTGACTTCAGTATCTGGTTCGATTGGAAAGTGAATATCGTTGGTGCATTGGGGGGGTCAAAATTTAAATTTCCCAGTAGTTTTCAAAAGCGCCAAGAAAAACAAAAAAAAAATTTTTCATATTGAAAAACGGGAATTTTTACGCAAAATTGATTTTGGTTTTTGGTGTAACTTTAAAACTAATGACTATATTGTTTCAAAGGCAGATGAAAAATATTAAAAATCGTTAGTCACAGTTTTTTTTTTTATAAGCATTTAAAGTTCAAAAATTGACAAAATATGGAAAAATCACGAAAATTAGCAAATTATTTTGAGTTAAGAATTCATAAAAATTTTTCTTTTTAAATCTAAGATATGAAAATGTAATACAAGTTTCCTTATAAGATTTCCTACATTTATCAAAAAAAAAATTCTATAAGAAAGTCAAATTAAATTTTTATGAGCGTTTGAAATTCAACTTTTTACAACATTGGATATTCACTAGATTTCTCATGTGGCGATTTCCTTATTTTGTTGTAATTCAAAAACGAATTACTGTAGATAAATGAAAATTTCACTGAATGTTTATATTAGCATTTCCTATACACCATACAATTTTGAAAATATTATGACTCTTTTTGAGCCGTTTACGGACATTTTCAGTTTTCAATTTTTTTAGTATTTTTTCTTTAAATATCAACAAAGTTTTTTCTGTTGGGCCGAAAAGTGTAAAAATGTAATACAAGGCTCCTGATATATTGTTACAATATCAGTTGAAAAATATTGAAAATACATAGGCACAATTTTTTTTTTATAAGCATTTAAAGATCGAATTTTGACAAAATGTATCAAATTTAAAATTGAATAATTATTTTGTGGTTACAAATGTATAAAATGTTCAACTTTTATATCTAAGGATTAAAAATTTAAAACAAGATTCCACGTAAGTAGTTAATTCTGTTACCAAAAATCTAAAAAATACATAAGCACAGAATATTTTTATAGTCATTTTAAGTTCAACTTTGGACAAAATTACATAAAAAAAGACCTAGAATAACTATTTTAGTTATTTTATTGTGATTGTGTGATATTATTTGTGGGTACTTGAAACTTCTAAAGTACACTATTATATATCTATGGAGTATGGACTATGATAGTATTATAAGTTTTATCTGTTGGGCCAAAAAGTGTAAAAAATTAATACAAGGCTCCTGATATATTGTTACAATAGCAATTGAAAAATATTAAAAAGACATAGGCACAATTTTTTTTTATAAGCATTTAAAGATCAAATTTTGACAAAATTTATCAAAATCTCGAAAATTATTAACCATCGTAATTAATAAATTATAAAATGTTCAGTTTTTTATAGCTAAGGATTGAAAATTTGAAAAAAAGATCCTCATAAATAGTTCATACTGTAGCCAAAAAATCTAAAAAATATATGAGCACAGTTATTTTTTATAGTCATTTTATGTTCAAATTTGGACGAAATTACATATTAAAAAACCTAGTTATATTGTTGTGATTATATAATATTATTCGTGGGTACCTACTTGAAACTTCTAAAGTGTACTATTGTATATCTATGATAGTATCAGGGTTTGTTATTGATGTTGATGTATAACGTGTTATAAGTACCTAATGGATATTGTGATAATGTGATATGATTAATTTGGAATTTATTATAGGTCAATTTTTTTTTAATGCCATAGATATGTATATAATTTGTCTTAAACCTAGACTGACATACCGTCTTCGTTTAGAATCGTTTTTCTTATGCAATGATATTGTATCATTGAATTCAAATTTAAAGCATCCATTATACAGTGACCCACTTGTAACCTGTAATGTATGTAGTATTCCATGATAATTAGTTTTAAGGTTATGTTTT